ATCCAAATTCATATTTTTGTACTGTAGATATCCAATTGTTTCAGCACCTATCGATTTCAAAGGCTATCGCTTTTTCTTCCCAATTACCTTTGTAACTTTGTCAAAATCAGTTGTCTACAGTGTACGGGGGTCTGTATCTGGACTCTTTTCTGTCCTTTTGATCTATCTTGATGGCAATACCAGTCTTGGATACTATAGTTTTATAATAAATCTTTAAATCAGGTAGTATTAGTCTTCTACCTTTTTCCTTCTTTTTCAAAGTTGTTTTAACTATTCTACATTCTTTTCATTTCCATATGAATTTTAGAATCTACTTGTGAATTTCCATAAAAAAGTTGACTGGGCTCTTGAGTAAGAATTATACTGAATCTATAAACGATATCCCAACAATATTAAGTCTTCTGTTCCATGAGCAGAATATAGTTCGCCATTTATTTGGGTGATCTTTAATTTCTCTAAATAATATTTTGTAGTTCTCCAAGTTCAGATTTCATACATCTTTCCTGAAATTTAAAGTATTTCATATTTTTACGCTATTGTAAATGATATTTTAAAAAAATGTTTGTTGCTTATATGTAAAAATACAATTGATTTTTGGGGGGTATGTTTTTCTTATATTCTGCAACCTTGCATAAATTCATTAGTTCTATTAGCTTTTTTATAGAATCCACCAGATTTTCTACATAAAAGATCATGTCAACTATGAATAGACAGTTTTAGTTCTCCCTTTCCAATCTGGAGGCCACTTATATCTGTCTGTCTCTATCTCTCTATCTTACCTTACTACTCTGGCTACAACCTCTAGTACGATGTTGAACACAAGTGGTAAGGGGGGATATCCTGGTCTTGCTCCTGAAAACACTCCAGTTGGTACTAGAGCGGGTCATGAAGGCAGAAGCAAAACTGTCCTCACAGATTACTGGTCTCCCCCAGCTGCCACAGAAACTGCTCCCAGGCCCCTGCTGACTACAAGCTTAAATTACTAAACTCAAAGGTGAAGAGGAGGGAAGAATCAGATCTTCCTTTCCACCTCTGAACTGTTCATTCATTCCTCATTACTCCTCCCTAGCGGAGAAGTGACGTATCTGATTGTAGAGCAGCAAGAGCCTAGCCTCTGCTGAATTCATGAAGTTCATGTATTAGGAAGCAGCACGAATGCAAGAGAAATGGTCGTGAGTATGTGTGCCTGCTCTGCGGCCTCTAATTCTCAAGGGGTTACACTGAATAGACAGACCTATACACTGTTCACTCGGCCACAGAGCAACTGTGTTCTAACATTTGGCTGAATAACAACTAATTTTCTATTTCCATCTGTCTGGCTTTTATATTTCTCAATACGTTCTGAACTCAGGGGTGTCAGAAAGAACCACAACCAATGACCAACCATCACATATAATCAGACATATTTAACAAAGGATAACAATTTAATAAATATAATACAAGCATGAAAAAATATAGTCATAAAATATATAATCCTTGTAAACTCTATGGAGACAAGAAAAAAGATGACATAACCCTAAGTAAATTTTAAAAAGCAGAAATACAATATGGCATACTATTTGCTTGCATCTGAAAAGTTATGAAGCATGCATGTGAGAAATGGAAAGTATTATACAAAAAGATAAAGCTAATATGTGGTAATGAGAATACGGGAGATTTTTATTAAAAAAAAAAAAAAATCTTCTTAATGTTGTTATAATATCTTTGAGTATGTACCTATGCCTCAGGACTAAACCTGAAAGGAAATGTATGGAGAAAGGGAGCTCTTAGAATAGTGGGATTCCAGATATTTTTTCGCACTTTTTAAAAATTTTCATTATAGTGCTACATGTGTACTGAAACAAATTTGATTTAAATAAATATAAATCATTCTGCTCAGAGCACCCTGTCCTTTTCATGTAGACTGGGAATTCTTCTTCTAGGAAGCCATCTATCTATTTTCTGATCTGAGACAGCAGCCATAGCCACTGAAGTGATGCATTCAGGTAAGCTGAGACTCAGATCAGATGTCTCACTGGCACTAAGGTCATGGTCATAAGCTCTCAAGTAATCAGTGAAACCCTCAGGTAGCCATGGGCTCGATTCCCCAGGTTATCATCAGAGACCTCAGTAGGGCACTGTCCTCTCCCTCTGCAAACTGCCAGCAACATTTTTAGATTCACTCTCCCCTGACCCTCGCACATGAACTGGCAGGCAGCCCCCTCCTCCTATCCTCACTCCGTCCTCACAGTACCTCCCTGACCCGGATCCATTTAAAAAAAAAATTCAACACTGATTGTTAGAAACTCTGCTTGGACTAAGTCTCTTCTACTATATCTAGTATTTTAAGAATTCAGCTATTAATTAGCTAGTAATTGCTAATTATAGAAAATAACTTCTTCAATGTACAAGCAGCTCTGGCTAAAGAAAAACAGAGCAAAACTGAGCATAAGCCTTTGCTGAAATTACCAACTAAAATATGGAAAAGAAAAATAACTTTGGTTTCTGTATATAATTTTCTAAGTTTTTTCCTCCAGGAACATGAGCACAAAACCTTATAGCCCATGAAATCTATCTTGAGATAGTGTTTCTCACCTCTTTGCTCATCTAAATTCCACCTACCCTTCAAGGCTCCAGTACTTGAAGCTTTGTTCTCGCTTCTCCATGAAGTCTTCATAATGGCTCAAATTCATGAAGCACTCACTATGTGAAGGCACAATGGCCTCACCCCCAGCCTGTGTTAACTGACCAAACCCTCACATCCCTATGAGGTGGGTATTATCATTTTCCTCGATTTACAGGCACAGAGGGATTCTAAGTCTAAAGTAATTTTGTGCAGGTTACATAGCAAGTAAGTAGCAGACCCAAGATCTGAACTGGGCGATCTGGGTCCCGGCATATCGCTAGGTCATTTGATCTCTCCTCTTAAAGACGTCGGTCTTCCCAAAGACACCTGCAGCCCAGCTAATCTAACCTCTTCCTTCTGTGCTTGTTTCACGGACCCCACAATAAGTTACTATACTCTCTGTACTCCTTGTTGTTTTCTTGTTTGTTTCATATGTGTTTGCACGTGTTCCCCAACTAAATTATAAATTCCTAGCAGGCAAGGCAACCATATTCGTTTCTTGCCCTTACTTGTTACAGAGTGCTGTATATAAAGCACTCAATATAGATTACTTAGCCAACTTTTTTAAAACTCTGGCAACTTCTCTATTATAAAGACAGACTTTTTTCCTACTTTTTAATGCAAAGTATCATTTAAAAAGGAGAAAACTGAAATATTCATGCATGATGACAAGGGAATTCTACAGAGAGAAAATAGGACATTATCACGCCCTTGCTACAAATCCTAAAGAACATGAAGTCACAAGCTATATGACTAAGCAAAATTACTTTAACACCTGAAGGTTTGATACCTCCTGCCGTCAGTGTCAGATTTAGCATTACTAAAGTTAGGAAACTGACTGCACATTTATTTTTCTTCCTAACGCATCTCCTCCTGGTGAGTCATATCTATAAAACTGACAGACCAAGTATTTCCATTTCCTAAAAGAGAAACCAACACTTAAGAAAAATCAGAAGTTTCTTCTGCATATGCATAATCAGTAAGTGACAATTTGTGTTATCAAGAATAGCACACATAGGAGAAAAGACATACTAAAATCAGAGAGACCTCCAGGCCCGGAGAGTAGAATAATTTTTAAATAATGTTTTCTGACCCACCCAAATGAGAAAATAAAGATGATCCGATCCATTCAAATGAGAAAATAAAAATGAGAGTTCAAAGACATGATCGGACTTGAGCCACACTCTAATCCACCCATGTACCAAGGCAGTTCAAAGTTAACCAAAAAATGTAATGCTGGCTCTTAAGTACCACAGACCATAAGTAAAAGAAAATGCCCTTACTAAAAGAGGACTATTTCCCACAGATTTCATCAATTTTCTCCACTATAAATCTAATAACATAAAATCTAAGGGGCTACAAGTCCTAAGATAATTTTCAGAGGATAAAAGAGAGAAGCTTAAGGTTTGTGGGCTTCTTACTGAACACCACTTTTCAAATACACTGCTACAACAGTTTTAATTTACACACAAATAAATACTAAAAATTCTGCTAGCTCAAGGCACCTGGGCTATCTCAGGAAAAGGCTAATGTGATCCTAAAACAAAGAAAGTCTGATAATAGCATTTGTCTTTATTTTCCCTTTAGCATCAGTTAGCTTTCTAAAGCCAAGTAAGTTTGTGCCAATAGCAGCAAAAGCAAATCGATCTCTAAATGATTAAAAACAAAGAGTATATAATGCCACTGGTCAAATGAAAAACTAAACAGGAGATTTTTAAGTCAAAGTGAAAAAGTAAAATTACTCTGAATTTACTATAAAATGATATTCATAGATGGACACTAATACCTTATTTTCAAATCAGTTGAGAGTCCCCCCCTCCAAAAAAAAATACGGATGCTGCATTATAAAAAGAACCGGAAATTAATTATAGGTCCTATCTTGAGATCTGGAAGACAACTTATCATTAGTCTGGCCCACTAAATCCAATTATACCGAATTACCACGTTCATTGGAGGTAATCTCTAGAAACCGGTACCTCTGGGTAAAGTTTAAGACTGTGCCTCATTGTGACTTCTACAAAAACTCCTCCTGGCCTGCTCTTTACGTGGCTATGATGCCACTAAAGTAGAATCTGCAACACTGGTATTTCAAAAAACACACAAGCTTTTTATTTTCACACCACATACACAAGAAGCAGAAAACAGAACTGAAAACACCGTCATGTTTAAAACAGGACAGCTCGAGGCTATTACTCTGTCCTAAACAAGAGTTTTAACAAAAGAGAATGAATGCCAAAGCCCCAGCTACTAAAAACACAACCCTTTCTGAGGGCCACTCCTGCCTACATTTCCCGATTCATTCTGCTGTTTTGCTGCACTGGAAAGTGAAAATATGTCATGATTTTAACTTCCACCCACTACCCAAAGCATACTTAAAAGCCAAAGAAAAACTCACCTCTGCAAAATGTGTTGATGTGCTATTGTCCATCCGGCTGCCGCCACCACCTAAAAAACTGAAGAGAAAAAGGAATGAGTAGTGATTCTATTCCCGGGAGCAAGCCTCCCTCCCGGAAGCTAAATATAGAATGGTACGAAGAGAACAAAGCCCAAGAAGGAAAAATAACTCATCCCAACATGACACCTACAAAGGAAATTATGAAGAACTGGCATGTGGATTAATCTATGAAAAATATTATAACAAACTACAAAGTCAAACAAAAAATCAAGTGAAATATTGGGGGAAGGGGTCACCATAGAAGGACCCACAGCCAGCAATACAACTCAAATTTTACTTTGTAAAAGAAGAAAAACGAACACTTATTCTCAAAGATGCTAAGAAATAAAACAAAGTGTCTTGAAACAATATTTCACTAAAAAAACCCATTCGATCACCAGATGAACACACTGAAAACTATAATAGGTACAATTTCTTGGGAATGATGACAGGTAGTAATGCGGTACCATAGTAGGCACTTCCTAAAAGGGCTCAATAAACATGTTTTCTTCTGATAGTTTACACCCTATTCTTTGATTACTCTACACATCTTCCAGGGCCCATCTCAAATGCTACCTCCTCCGTTAGGTCTTTTCTGAACTCACCGACCAAATGAGACTCTTCCACGCCTGTCCGCACTCTGACTTTGATTCTAAATTTTACCTTATATTATAAATACCTAGAATTTTTCTCATTCATTTCTACACTTTTCCCTCCTTTCATAAATATAAATTCAGAAGGTAAAGACTTTTTTGTTAATACCACCAATGTATGTAGAGTGTTTATTATGTGCCAGACATTATGCAGATCACTCATCACGTCTGAACACCCTGCGATGCCATATTCTGTATTGATAACTTGGAAAATAAAAGTTGTTAAATTAATATCACATGAGTAGATAAAATAACTACCTATTCCCAAACATGGGAAGAAATATTAGATCCCACTGGCCCCATGAAATCTGCAGAGAGGAAACGGGTAATGCTTTTGGGGAAAGTGAGGTAGAAAGTATCACAAGAACTTCTAGATGACACTTTTACTACAAGACACACATAAGTGCACAAACGTGTACACATACTCACCCTAATGATATAAAGTCCACAAACTATGACAAATAGCTTTTGTTTTCAGAATTACACTACCAATCCAAGCATCGTGCTGAGCTCACTGAGGAAACACACCCTGGTTAGTCAGGAACCAAAAGTGAAAAAGCAAAGCTAATGCCATTCTCCTTGTCATCATTCTCAGGCCTTATTCTCATTAGAAACCATTTAACATCCATATTTGTTTCAGAAGATAAAAATGCTTTTGTTAAAAATACCGCAAATGTAGAACAAACTTAAAAAGCACCCTACAATCCATGCCAAATAAATAAATAAATAATTGAACTGCCACGTACCTTTAAAAAAAATAATTGAGAGTCTGTGTATCCATTTTATCGCTCAAGCCGAGACAGGCTTCTGAGGCCGTTTCCTGCCTGTACCACATATTTTCAGGGATTTAAATATCCTTGGTAATTAAAGCTATCAACTATCTTTTTGGGGTTCTGCACTCCCTGAAAAATCCCTCAGCCTTTCCTGTCCTTACAATTCCTTTGTATTTTATGAGTGACAGGGCTAATCACGAAGAAGGAATAATAAAAATAACCACATTGTTCTGAGAAATGTTACATGGCTTAAGAAAATTTACAAGGTGCCTCTCTAGATAAATGTCTAGTAGCAAATGGGGTCCATTAGCAAATATTTACATGCGAGACTTCCTTAGTAGTTTGTACCATCCACTACTCATCGCTGTAATTGCTAAATATTCAAATCGGCAAATGTTTATGAGCTTTGTAGAAGAAAATACTATGCTACCTCTAAGACACTGTAAGAAAAAGATTTCTTTGACTACTTAAAATACGAATCTCTCAGAAGACATCTTTGCGTTTGAGTATTTGCTACCCACAGCACCTGTGCAGGACGACCTTTGAGTTACAAAGGCGCAATTAAAAGAACTGTTAAGTCAAGTAAGAGAATCCACAGAGTTCATAGTTCTCTGCCAGAAAGGATTCACTCATCCTGCAGTGACTGACGATCCTGATTTATAACCGTACTTTGTATACAGGCCTGAAGAACCCAGGATTACCATTTAATCTGTTGCTCGTTTGCCCCGAGATTACTCACTGGCTACAGCATTTACCCCGCGATAACTCACAGATTACAGTCCCACAGTCTGCTGCAAAATATCTCACTTTTATTATTTCCCCATCACTCTAGTATATCAATAATCTTTGGAAACAAATGACATCGTTCTATTTATAGCATTGTTTTTAAGTAGTGGTATTTCCATTTACAAAATACAGAAATTCTTGATCGCTGAAAATGTCAAATCCTAGAGAACGCAGTAGCATTCCTACGCGGGATGCTAACATGGTTCTCAAACAGTTGTTAGCCAAAGACTCATTTGATGAATCCAATTCATGTATACGTTTCTGTTATATCAGGATTAGAGACAAATTCTGTTTAGAAATAACTCCAAGAACGGTTTTTACATTTTATTTTCACACTGAAAACCAGTCAGATTTGCTTCAGCCTCAAAAAGCATGTTTATGTAAAATTAAATTAATGCTGGCCGAGAGCTGTACTTTTTTTCTAAATGGGAAATAGGTTAAAAACTTAGGAAAAAAGTAAGCCCATTCATTGCCCCCCAACATCCAATATGTTCTTTATTTAACACATGCAGAGCCTAAGTGCTTGAAATAAGTATCTGATGCTTATTTGATAATAAGCTTAATGATAATAGCACAAATCAAAAGCTATCCCCAATTAGCATGCCATCCACACAAAATTGCTAATTTTGCTATCATGCTAATCTTTCAAGTTTAGAGTTTATATTGTGTTATTTAAAACCAAAATTATTAGATCAACATGTAAGTGCTTAAACCAAACTATATACCCCATGCCATACACTGCCTCAGAAGCTCCAACTCATTTATACACATAACCACCAATCATTAATAAAGTTAAACTAACAGTACATACTGTAAAATGTGTAGTTTTTCCTGGTTGTGGAAGAGACCTTCAACTTTAGATTCTGCCAACAGCAACAGTAAAGGAATTATTTACTGCATTGAAATCTCTCGAAACCAGATTGAAAGAAGCTTCAGATTAGAGCCCTTTTGTCCAGTCGGTACTTCTTCAACTGTCCAACTAACGTTTAACCACACAGCCACAAAAGAACAAATGTGCCACTATGTTTAGCCAAAATAGGCCATCTTATCAATGCTATTCTACTTTTCATTAAATTTTTATAATTTTATTCACATTAACCAAGAATATATAATAGTCATTTTCAGAAATATTTCTCCTTTTTATAAGACTAATGAGAGCCAATTTCAAGAATTACAAACCCAAATATTAATATTACAGTAGCAAGATGGCATACATTCGACCACGATAATCTTAATAAGAACAGGGACTCAAAGCGTCCTCAAAGCAGAGTAATAACTCAGTTTCCCTGGTTAGAAACCAGTCTGTTTATTTTATCAGACATCTTTGTCAGGACCCCTTCCCGGCCCAGCAAGGAGGTGTAGCAGCAGTTCATCTTCAAGCAAGAGCAATCACTAAAAACCAACCAACAACCTAAGAGGACCTAAAGTCTCAGAAAATAAATGAAAACTGAGAGGGATATCGAGGTTTCCAAGGAATGTGACACACTATCAGAAACGACATCCCTTTACACCCACTAATCGCATCATTTCCCAAATTTTCCCATTTTTCTTCTTCTCTCTGCCACACTCCCCTCTCCCCACTGGCCTTTCAGCAAAGAGTGAAGTTATAAAACAAATTCCTTTCTATTCAGTCAATGCAGAGAGAGTAATTTTGGTAACAATGCCTGGTTTATTCATGAGCTTATACAATACCTGGAATCATCTGTCACTTCTTCAATAAAGCCTGATTCACATCTGGGACAAATATATTCCTATAAAAGAAAGGAAAAAATAAATAAAAGTCTTTCAGAAAATTAAGAATGTAGTTTCAGAATAACATGCAGTACATGAGCTGATGCTGTGAAATGTTTTAAGTGCTAACTCACTCCCAGGATATGTTTTTCTATTATACTCTGCCAAATAACAGACTCCATAAGATGTTTGCAAAATGTCTTAAGGGTTCCCACTGAGAGCTAAAAGTCAGAATGTCAAAGATTTTTTTTCTTTTTCCCAATTTGGGTTGATTTTTTTTAACTGGAATTAATTCATTTTCTAATTTTCTCTTCCAATCTAATGAAAAATCTCCACTGGAGATATCAGAGCAGTAAAAGAGTACATAATACTGATGGGCACAGAAACTGCTATTTTTTACTACGTACACAGAGGACACATATAGAGAATCGCAGCATAAATCGATTTGTAGACTAGGAATTTACAATGCAGTTTTATAACATTTCTAATCTATTTTTGATTATCAACGATTCCAAATAAAACTTAACATCAGATCCTGATTAGCCAAAGAAATCTTGGGAAACAACAAAGTAAGAGGTATCATACTCCGATACCAAACTATACTACAAAGCTACACTAATTATAACAGTATAGTACTGCCATAAAAGCAGACCTATAGATCAATGGAATAAAATAGAAAGCCCCAAAATAAATCCTAATTTATATAATCAATTAATCTACGACAAGAAGGCAAGGATATATAATGGGATAAAGACAGTCTCTTCAATAAGTAGTATTGGCAAAACTGGACAGATACATGAAGAAAAAGGAAACTGGATCCCTTTTCTAAACTACATACAAAAATAAGCTCAACACAATCATCACGGAAATGCAAATTAAACCACAAGATATCACTTCACACCTGTCAGAAGAGCTACCATCAAAAAATCGACAGACGACAAATGCTGGCAAGGATGTGGAGAAAAGGGAACCCCCATACAGTCAGTGGGACTGTAAATTAGTGCAGCCACTATGGAAAACAATATGGAGAGTCCTCAAAAAATTAAAAATAGAGCTGCCATCCAATCCAGCAATTCCACTGCAGCGTATTTATCTGAAGAAAAAAGCATTAATTTGAAAAAAATATATGCAACCCTACGATCAATGCATCATTACTAAGTAACAGCCAAGATATGGAAGCAGCCTAAATGTCCATCAATATATGAATGAATAAAGATGTGGTGTATGTGTATAATCGATTATATATATATGTAATGGAATATTATTATTCAATAATAAAAAAGAACGAAATCTTGTCATTTGTGACAACATGGATGAAATAAGTCAGAGAAAAAAAAATACTGTATGATCTCACTTATATGTAGAACATAAAATAACAAAAACAAGTGGAAGACAGAAACAGACCCATATAGACAGGCTGATGGTTACCAAGGGGAGGGATGGGGGATGGGAATAGAAAAAAAATCAATCCAAAATATTGTAAATCAAAATTAATTTTAGACTATAATAAAGAATACAAAACACTCAAGCAAAAAGGAGCTGTAGCCTGGAAGGCAGAGATTCAGGTAGCAACCTAAACTGTGTTCCATGAGTTAAAGGGGAGGCCCCCTTTCCCAGGGAACGTTCCTGCCCAGGATTTCAATTAGGTCCGTATTATGTAAATGAGGCACCCAAATCGTGTAGTTCTCACTGAAGAGGGCGGGTCTCAGCTGACAGAGACTAAACCCCGGTTTCCCGGCTGCTGACTCAGATGTAAACAAGCAGGGCAGAGCACCGGAAGTCAAGTTCAGTCTAGGGTTCTTCCCATATACAGAGTACATGATAAGCCCCTGGCAGTAATCAGCCGCCAGACTCTTTAATATTTGTAAAATCTGGGCCCTCAGTTGACAATGGGGAGTCCACCCCAGCAGATAAATTCCTTTCCTGCATTCACAACAAATGAATGTTTCTTATTGGAGGTCTACAAAATAAACAAAATTTCATGTCTATCTTTATCCAAAATTATCTTGTTCATTTATTTGTTTACTTGCATATCACCTAACTCACCCATTAAAAAATAATCTCTGTAAGGAAAAAACTTAACATTCTGTTATTCTATAGAAATATTAATTCAAATAACCAAACGATTCCATTACATCAGCTTCCATTTCCTTCAGTCATGTTAGGGAGGAAAAACTATCCTTTACCTTCAAGTTCTTCTGGCTGGACGAATAATCAAATTAATACAGATTAGTAAGAGAGAAACAGCATAAAGTTTAATAACACGCATACCCCCCGGATACGTGGGAGAGACCTGGGAACCCTGAGTAACACCCCAAATGGCGGGAGCCACCACCTTCAACTCCACATTCACAGTTAAAGACAAAAGGTAATGCTGGGGGTAGAGTCAGCTGTGGGAAGTTACCAGGACAAACACAGTAAACAAGGCTTAGACTGTTATGCAGATTTAAACCCAAGCCTTCTCCTCCACAGTGAAGGCAGGCCTGGTACAGTGAAGGACACACCTTACAAGTGGAAATGTCCTTTTACAAAGGTTAACTTCTACTTGATTTTCAGGGCTCCCCCTATGTCTGCCATTTCCTAAAATTAATCACCCTAAAATAATCAACATCCCAAAGTGGCACGTTTTGAGGTGGCAAATTCTGCTCCCTTACTGTACCATAAATCTTTCTTTTAAATAAATATATCAAGCTTTTGGCTGATAAGAATACACTTTAGACTGCCTTATCATAGTTTTAAAAAGTATATATTAACTACTGATTAAAATAGATCTGAGAAACACATTCTTTTCATTACACCACATTGATTAGCAATAACTGTGCTTTTAGAGAAAAAAAACAGGAAATATAATGTTCTATTGATTGAATGAAAGTCTGTGGCAAGGCCAAATGAGCTGAGGCCTTGGGAAATTCAGCAGCCATTCAGCCCCCTTACACCCCAGGGTCTGAAACCTTCAATCTCACAAGCTAAGATCTCTAATTTAGCAGACCAAGAAAAGACCTGTCTCTTAGAAGAAGATTCACATAAAACCAAATGCAGGGGCCATATATGTAAAACCCAGAAAGCCAATTTACTTAATTACAATGAAAAAGAGTTACTGAGTAGCCCACTTACTTTCACCATTCAGCACAGTGTTTCTCAGTAAGCAAATCTACCTGAAAAGTATCATG